GGCATGGGTTTTTACAGTCGGATGCCCTTCCTGACACTAAGAAGGGAGGAAGAGAGAGAGAGAGAGAGAGAGGGAGAGAGCGAAGGAAAGAGAGAAGGAAGGAAGAGAGAGTTAGATAGATAGAGAGAGAGAGAGAGAGAGAGAGAGAGAGAGAGAGAGAGAGAACGAAGGAAAGAGGGAAGGAAGGAAGAGAGAGTTAGATAGATAGATAGAGAGAGAGAGAGAGGGAGAGAGAGAAGAGAGGGGGGTGGTGATATAATTGGTTTAGACAGACATTGGCATTGCTTTTTGTGGCTATATGCTGGATATAAAAAAGGGTCACATCGTTTGCGGATAATAACGGTACGTTTTCATTTCTATATTACTGTCCTAGAGTAGGTGGTAAGTTTGAGGGAAAAAGCAGCTCGAGTTAGCAAGAAAATATATTTACAAGACATGCCAAGACATATTACAACATAAATTACGAATCCATATTTGATATACACGTCGTCATACTAATGCAAATTGCACCAAAGTTCGCAGTGCATTCAGCTGGCGTCGCCCTTCCTCTCCCTTTCTACTTGTCGTCTTCGTCTTCTTCGGAGTCTCCGTCGAGGTCGGCCTGCTCGCCGTCAGCGCGGACGCCGCCGGTGGAGGGCACGGCGTTGGACTCGAGGACGCGGAAGCCCTTGTCGTCGGCGATGTACTTCACCACGAACTCGATGCCCTCGGGGCTCTCCCACCTGCAGGAGGGAAATGATTGAGATATTTAAAGCACGGTCTATAGGTCCTGTGTACGTGCTGATGGATGGATCTATACATGACAGGTAGGTAGATAGATATAAAGACAAATAGACATAGTTGCGTATGTGGAAAAGCACGTCACGTCCAAATCTTTTAGTTTTAAAGAGAAACGGGATACTAACAACAAATATGTATTACATAGTCTCGTTACCACGCTGGGCCACTTATTCCCCTCACAACGACAAGAATAATGATTTTCTCAGCAATTTTCTTAAACGAGTGTTAAAATATCTACTTAACGTAACAAGGATTACCACTCACTTGTACTCTCCGGTGACGGCCTTGCCTGGCTCGCCCTCCTGGTCGTGCTCGGCGTCGTCGCCCTCGAAGTCGAGGATCTCGTCGGGGCGGGCGGCGGCGAGGGCGGCCAGGCCAAGGAGGACGAGGAGCTGAGGAGAAGATAACCATTGGATATGGATGTCGAATGTATGAACAGAAGGAGGAGGGGTATATGATGAGAGAGAGAGAGAGAGAGAGAGAGAGAAAGAAGGGAGAGAGAGAGAGAGAGAAGGGAGGGAGAGAGAGAGGCGGGTAGAGATTTATTTATGGATTGAATAAAATAAATGTGAATACATTAATGACGTGATTACGGTGTTGATAATAACAATAATGGTGATAATAACGGCATTTATAATGATAATAATAATAATAATAACAATAATAATAACGATAATGAAGATGATAACGACAATAAAGAAAGTACGAAAGACACCGTATCGTAATAACAGCGGCCATTGCTACTATCCTTATTCTCACCATCATCGTGATCGTCATCTAAAGAGGTGAACAAAGGGACATAAACAAAGATAATTTCTGGCTAAATACAAGAAACGACAGGCCTCTAAAATGCAGTATTTATTCAACAAAGAATAGAGAGAGGAAGTATCACGAAAGGAATCGTTGGCAGAATTTTATATGCAGTAGGAATATGAAATGGGATATAGTGTCAATGCACAGCTGATTATGATGATAAACTTCTGTGATGAAAGAAAAAGTAGACGTTAGAAGGAACTAGATTTTTTTATGGAATCATTTTTTTGTCCCATTTTTTTTTTCGGGGGGGGGGGGCTATTTCTTCAGCATTCTTCTTCTATCCGTAAATCCGCATCCTCATTCATCAACACCCATCAACGTCTCTATCCACCCATCTACTCATTTATATAGCTTCATCCATTTATCAGCCACACTGCAGCCATGTAGTCCAGCTATCCTTCCTTTAATTCATCCACTCACCCACCTGTCCAACCATCTACCCACCCACCCACCCACCCACCCACCAATGCAACCATCCATCCACTCACCCACCCACTCACCCACCTACCAATTCAACCATCCCACCAACCCACCTATCCAACTACCAACCCATCCACTCACCACCACCAACCCTTTCATCCACCTCTCCACACCTACTAAAACGACACCCCACTCACCATAACCTTCATACTGGCAGCTGTTTCGAGTTCAGAATCGCAAGGTGGAGTGTGCGTTTCTCGACCTGTGAAAAGGGTTATATACCAGAAGGACCCTAGAATGACCTTCACCCTACTACGGAGGGTGTAAGGGAGGTACGCACCATTCACGTTGGGTATAGAGAAGGGCGGGGTGTGTGTAAGGAATATATCTGTAGAAAGGTATGGGAATGCAGAAAATGTAAGTGGAGGGTGTAGTGGTGTAGAGAATGTAGGATGTGTAGATGGGTGTAGTAGGTAGAGAATATAATGTGCAGAAGGGTGTAGTTGACAGAAAATTGGATGTGTAGAAGGGTGTGGTGGATCTACAGAAAATTCGATGTGTAGAAGGGTGTGGCGTGTATGAAAAAGGAAAAGTAGTATATATATTCTATTGTATTTTAGGTAGAGCAAGGGTATAAGGGAAAGTATGAGGTACGAATCACATACTTTACAGTGCTGACAAGAGGGAAAGGATAGAGTGGCCTTCATATAAGATATTGTTGTTGATATGGTGGCCTGATATACTTCGCAAAATCATGGTGTGTCTATGCTTTGTTGCTAAGTAAATACCGGGTCCCGATTTTTCTTTGATTTCCAGCCTTTGGAATAATAATAAATCGTTATAGATAGATAAATAAAAAATATAATTGTTGGACTACCGAAGGAAGATATAGCCTACATCGTGAGATTATTATTATTACTAGTTTTTATTCGCGAATATTAACTATTAGCCTCAATACAGTTTTATGATTACAATAAATGGCATTCTAATTCCAGATATTGTAAATGCCATACTATCATTATTGTTACTTTCTTGTTATTCTTGTTCTCAGGATGATTATTTACTCTTATTATCATTATCTTTTAGGAGCATTATTATAATATCTGGTATATTGAAATGAACATTCTTGTTGTTCTTGAGACAGGTGTTGTTAACATTATCAATATTTTTTCTTGTTGCTGATATTATCTTTGATAATGATATTTGTATGGTTATTATTATCATAATTGTTGACATCATTATTGTTATTATCATTGTTCGTTCTTTTATTCATTATTGATACTATTATTATTGTTGTTATTGTTTTCATTATTATCATAATCATTATCACCATCATCATTAGTATCATTATTGATCCTATCATAATTACTATTATTATTGTCGTTATTATAATTATTGTGATCGTTAGTGTCATTGTTATCGTTATCAGTTGTACTATTTTTGTTATCACCTTATAATTTTCAGTATTATCATAATCATCATTATCTTCATCATCATTATAATCATCATTATTATCATGAATTTAACAGTCATTAATATTATCAATATAATTATAATTGTCATTATTATCACAATGTTATTATCAATATTCTTATCATCATCAATTTCATCATTAATTATTATCATTACTATCATTACGATTATCATTATCATTGATTATCATTATCATCCCCATGGGCATAGGCAGTGTTCACATACCTCGGTGCAGTGATACCAGAACAAACATTTCTTTTCATTTATAACAATAATATGTATACGCATGCATTTACAGACAAAAAAAAGTGTTAGCGCGCTGCTCATACACACAAACATACACATCAATGTATATGTATGATTGTGAATGTGTGTGCGTTGTGTGTTATGTGTGTATGTGTTTTTTGTGTGTGTGCCCATATACGTGTAGGTGTTCGAATTTGTTTGTGTGCGTATTTCATGTCCATATGTGCACTTACCTACTGAAGTGCACGTAAGATCGCATATGCAATCGTTATAAACCTCAAATACATTATTCCTTCACGTCCCTCAGTAAGAAAACACAAACCTCCAACAGAACCTTTCACTCTGTCCATTTTGTTTGTTTTTTTAATCCCGCAAGACCCTATACTTTTACAACTTCTGTCGGTTTAATTACCACTTATTTGACCGTGACGACGAGGGAAGTGCAGGTTTCTTTTGGGGGCTTCAGTTACCGAGGGCTTTTTCCGGTGATCCGAAAGTTATCTGTAGGTGATTTTCTTTTTTTTTTCTTTTCTTTTTCTTTGTTTTAGGATTATTTTCACTGCGCTGTCGTCAACTGGGTTCAACTTCCATTGTTTTATGGGAAAGTGTGGGCCCGAAATAGACTATTTCACTGCACTGTATATATATACATATACATACATATATACATACATATATATATAATATATATAATATATATATATATATATATATATATATATATAAGAAACACATACATGCACACATGTATGTAAGGATACACACACACACACACACAAACACATACATATATAAATAGATAGATAGATAAACACACATACACGACATACACACACACACACACACACACACACACACACACACACACACACACACACACACACACACACACACACACACACACACACACACACACACACACACACACATATATATATATATATATATATATTATAATAATATAATATATATATATATATATATATATATTATGTATATATATAATATATATATACATATATATATATATATATATATGTATCTATATACTATATATAATATATATATATATATATATATATATATATATATATATATATATATATATATATATATATATATATATATATATATATATAATATATATATATATATATATCTGTATGTATATATGTATGTATATATATATATACATACATATAGATATATATGTATATATACACATACACATATACGTACACACGCATACACACACACACAACCACACCACACACACACACACACACACACACACACACACACACACACACACACACACACACACACACACACACATATATATAATATATATAATATATATATATATATATATATATATATATATATATATATATATGTATGTATATATATAAATATATATATATATATATATATATATATACATATATATATATATATATATTTAGAGAGAGAGAGAGAGAGAGAGAGAGAGAGAGAGAGAAGAGAGAGAGAGAGAGAGAGAGAGAGAGAGACAGACAGACAGACAGACAGATATATGACTGTGAATACATATATATGTATATGAATAGATAGATGGACAGACAGATAAATAGATACCTGTATATATGTACATGTATTTTTTTTTTTATAAGTGCATGAGTACATCTAAGTGCATTCATATAATGTATATACAATCAGTTTATGCCTTATATAAAACTGGCAACTCAGCGTATTGAAAGTTTATTTACAAAAGAATTACATGGAAGGAAAAGAATGCAAGATGTTTGATAAATTAGATGATGTGATGGGTCAACCGAAGGCGTTCGGCACACGCGGCGCCATCTCTGCGTGTCACCGAAGGTCTCATATCCGTTTACTTGTCGTCTTCGTCTTCCTCGGAGTCTCCGTCGAGGTCGGCCTGCTCGCCGTCAGCGCGGACGCCGCCGGCGGAGGGCACGGCGTTGGACTCGAGGACGCGGAAGCCCTTGTCGTCGGCGATGTACTTCACCACGAACTCGATGCCCTCGGGGCTCTCCCACCTGCAGGAGGAAGAAAGTCAGATGCATTATTTATTCTAAAACCGACGCAGGTAACCATTTCATCCTAGGGAATGTGTTTTTGTCATTCGTTTAGCGACAATTGAAAATTATTTTATTGTGATGGAGATGATGGTATTCAGACTCACTTGTACTCTCCGGTGACGGCCTTGCCTGGCTCGCCCTCCTGGTCGTGCTCGGCGTCGTCGCCCTCGAAGTCGAGGATCTCATCGGGGCGGGCGGCGGCGAGGGCGGCCAGGCCAAGGAGGACGAGGAGCTGAGGAGGAGATATTTCCATCGATTGATATAATATATCTAACGGAGCCTACGACAAAACCCGAATTGTACTTTGATACAACAGAAGACCCATCCCCTGATACCATAATGCTCAAAAGTAACAACGAGAACCATCTTGCTAAATCAAGCTGAAACTCCCTCACTCACCATAACCTTCATAGCGGCGGCGGGAGAAGATAGAGCACACGACTGACTCTCGAAGCGAACTGTCCGTCCTTTCCCCGAGATAGTGATTATATAGTGAGGCGGTGGTGACCTTCACCTCGGTGAGGACGCTACCGAAGGGGGTGGGTGGAGGTGGGTGGGCGTAGGGAGTGTGAGGAGGAGAAAGGTGGGAGGGTTGGCATGGGGAGAGGAGAAAGAGAGAGAGAGAGAGAGGGTGAATCGAGACAAAAAAGAAACTGGCCAGAGAAAACGAAAGAGAGAGAGAAAAGAAAGACAGAAATAGAGAAAGAAAGAAGACAGAGAGAAAGAGAGTAACAAGATGACTTATATCAACATATTTACTCAGGGTAAATAACACTGAAAGAAGAAGAAAAAGAAGAAAAGAAGATACAGCCAGACAGGACCTTCACCGGAATAAATACTCTTCTGCCCTTTTGTCTTCGTCTCTCGCTGGCCGGAGGCTGACAAGATCTCGAGTCGGTAAAAAGAAAAAAAATTATAATAGATAATAGAAAATAAGATAAGAAGGAGGCAGAAAAAGAGAGGGGGACGGAAGACAGAAATGGTCGGAGGGTGAGTGTATATATATGAGGTGTGTGTCTATGTATATAATATATATATATATATATATATATATATATATATATATATATATATATATATATATATATATATATATATATATATGTGTGTGTGTGTGGTGTAGATATAATATATATATATATTATATATATATATATATATATATATATATATATATATATATATATATAATATATATATATTATAATATATATATATGTGTGTGTGTGTGTGTGCTGGTGTGATGCGTGTGTGTAGTGTGTGTGGTGTGGTGTGTGATGTGTGTGAATGTGGTGTGTGTGTAGTGTGAATGTATAATATTATATAAATATATGATAATAATAATAATATATATATTATATAATATATATAATAAATATAATAATATACATTATATATATACATAATATGAGTAATATTATATTATAATATTATTTATATATATAATATGTTGTGTGTAAGTGTGTGTGGTTGTGTGTATAATATTATATTTATATTAATATTATATCTATATTATAATTAATATAATATTATAAAATATATAGTATATTATACATATAATATAATGTGTAAGTGTGTGTGTGTGGTGTGTAGTGTGTTGTGTGTGTGTGTATCTATGTATGTTCTACACACACATATACATAATACACTTTACCATCTGATACATTATTTCTTTGCCAATCGTCTCTTCTCTAATTTCTCTCTCCATATAAATATATAATAAATATATACCTATATAATATATTATGATATAAATATAATAATATTTGATATCATATATAACTATAATAATTGATTGTATATAACACACACACACACATTACCACACACCACACAACACACAAAAACAGAACACACACACATCCACACAACACACTACACACAACCACCCCAACTACAATCCACTACTAACACTCGCAATCACACAACATGTAATAATATACACACACAACACATACTATAATATATATATAAATATACTATGATATATATATATATAAAATACATAAAACTATATATTTATTATAGTAATACGTATTATTCTACACTCAATACTATCTATATTATGTATAAGTTATTGTTGTATGTATGTATCGCTATTATAAGACATGTGTGTGTTATTATTATATAATGTATTTAATATTAATAATATGTATACAATTTCACACTCATACATATAACATATATATATATATATACTTATCATCACTTTAATCATCATCATATTTCATATTATAAATACCTATATTGAGATATAATATATAATTAACATTATATATTATATATATTAATCTAATAACGATACAAATTCAATAATTATAATACATGACACCAACATCAACACCATTACACATTCATCATACACAACACATCACCACATTCACAACATTACACACAACACACACATATATATTAAGTTATAATATTATTAATCATATAATATATATAAATATCATATTAAATATATATATATAATATAATATTAAATATATATGTTATGATTATTATAAATATTCATAAATGTATATATATATATATATATATCTAAATATTAATATTATATATTCATATGTTATATAATATAATATATTATATATATATAATATATATCATTTATATGTACAAAATCATATAATAATATTGTATAATAAATAATATTAAGTATATTAGTATGAATTATATATATATATTTTATATAGATAAATTAACATATAATATTTAAACATATCATTAAACACATTCAATATAAGAAGTAAACATCAACCACAATTTTCCACATCACTACACAACACTATCTATCTACACTCTACATATATAATATATATAATATAATATATTATATTATAGTAATATTAATAGAATAATATATCCTATATTACTTTAAATATAAAATTAATAATATAATTCATAATAATAATATTACATATATAATAATAACACTAACAGCACACACTACACACACACACACACCACACCAACACACACACACACACACACCACACAACACACAAACACACACCACAGCAACCACACACAGCACACACACACACACACACACACACACACACAACACACACAAACACAACTATAAATAGTATATACAACACAAGCGCACACACACACACATATATATATTTATTTATATATTATAATATAATAATATATATATATATATTATATATAATATATATAATATATATGTATGTATGTATGTATTGTATATATTGCTAATACACATATATATAATTTATATTTAATATTAATATAATATATATTTAATATAGTATTATATTATTATTATATATTATATATAATATATTTAATATTATATAATTATATGTTTTAATATAAATATATATAAATATAATATATATTACAATATATGGTATGTTAATGATACTATTAATATATTATATATATATAATTATTCATATATAACATATTAAAATATTAATATATATTATATATATATATAATAATATATATTATATATATTATATATATATAATGTGTTGTGTGTGTGTGTGTGTGTGTGTTGTGAGTGGTGTGTGTGTGTGTGTGTGTGTTGAAACATTTATTATATATAATATATTAATATATTTAATATTAATATATATATTAATATATATTTATATTATAATATTATTATATATACATTAATCATATATAAATATATAAATTATATGATATCTATTAATATTATATTAAATATATATATTATATATTATATATATAAATATTTATTATATATTAATTTAAGTTAATAAATTTATATATTTAATATTATTTATAATTTAATATATACATATATATAATATATTATATATATATATATAATTAATAATTAATTAATATATATTATTATATTATAGTATGTTTATTAGTATGGTTAGTGTTTAATATTTAGTTGTGTTGGTGTGGTGTATGTGTGTGTGTGGTGAATGATGTGTATGTGCGTATATATATATTATATAATATATATATTATATATAAATATATATATAATATAATATATATATTATATATTATTTAATATATAATATATTAAATATTATATATACTATATTTATTACGTGAGGATAATCCATATATACACACACACACACACAACACACCTAACACACACACACACACATACACACACACACAACACACACATCACACACACACACACACACAAAGATAATGAACACAGCACACACACATACAGCACACACACAACAACATTCACTTACACACAACAAACACACATAAACAACACTAGTATTTATGATATTGTTATATATTATTATATATATATAATATATATATATTTATAATATATAGATTATATATATAGTGTGTGTGTGTGTGTTGTGTGTGTGTGATGTGTGTGTGTTAGATGTGTGTGTGGTGTGTAGTGTGTGTGTGTGTGTATATTAATATGTGTGTAATATATAGTAATATAATAATAATAAATATTATTAATAAATTATTATAATATACTGTGTGGTGTGTGTGTGTGCGATGTGTGCTGTGTGTGTGTGATTGTGTGTGTGTGTGTGTGATGTGTTGATGTGTGTAGTGGTGTGTTGTGTGTGTGTGTGTGTGTGTGGTGAGTGTGTGTTTGATGTTGTAATAATATAATGTAATATATATATATAAATATAAATATAATATAGTATTATTATAATATATTATATATATAATAATATATAATAATACATATATAATATAATATACATATTGTTTATATATAATATATATACATTATATACATAATAATATATAATGATTATAATATATATTATAAGTATATAATATAATATTTATTGTGTGTGGTGTGTGTGATGTGTGTGTGTGTGTGTAGTTAGTGTGGTGGTGTGTGTTTGTGTGTATGTGTGTGTGTGTGTGTGTGTGTGTGTATTATGTATAGTATATATAATGTATATATGTTATTGTATATATATTATATAAATATATAATATAATAATATATAATTAATATATAGTAATTATAATAATATATAATATATATTATATATTTATATGTAATTAATAACTATATTATATACCTATATAAATGTTCTCAATATCTTTAATACTAATATATATATATATATTATAACATACCTTAATGATGTATAACTATATATATATATATATACAATTTATCAATATATGTATATATGTAATAATATCACATACTATACAATATCAACTACTTACACAATACTCAATATCATACTAATATATACATAATTACTGTAATATAATATATATATAATATTTATATATAATATCATATATAATATATTATATATATATATAATATATTAATGTATTAATATATATAATATTAATATAATATTATATATTTTTATATATTATTTATAATATATACATATATATATACATAAATATTACAATTACATTATAGGTATATTATAATTAATAATAAATTATATATTATATCAATGTATATATATTATTAGTTGTGTTTGTAGTGTGTGAGTGGTATGTCTAATATATTATAATATATATATTATAATAATATATATATAATAATATATATATATTATATATATTATAATGTATAATATATAATATATATATATATAATATATATATAATATTATATATATATATATTATACTATAATATATATTGTTGTGTAAATATATATTAATATAATATATAATAATAATATTATATAATCATATGATATATATAATATATAAAAGTAAATATATATGATATATATACATAATATATAATATATAATATATAATATAGTTATATATAATGTTAATATATAATATATATATTGTATAAATATATAAATAATAGATAAATATATAAGTATATATATAAATAGTATATAGTAATTAGTTAATAGTATATATGTTTATATATAGTATATATATTATATTATTTTTATATACTATATATAAAGATATAATAATATTAATAAAAATATCTATCTAATTAATAAATCTTACTATTAATATCATATCAACAACATGATATATTACATACATAATATATAGATAAAATATATATATTACAATAATATAATTTATGATATATATAATATATAATAATATATATATAATGATAACAATAAATAGTATTATAAATTAATTAATATAAATATAAATAAAATGTGCGAATCACAACTTAGTCTGGTAGTTGGTGTGTGTATGGCTATATAAATACTAATATATAAATATATTATATATAATATATATATATATATATATATATATATACTTATTATATATATATATTATATAACATTAATATAACAATAAATAAAAAAAATAATATAATAATATAAATTACACACTATATAATATAATATAATATAATTAAATTAAAAGTGATGTAGTAGTGTGATGTGGTAGTGTGTGTAGTGGTGTAGATAGTAGTGTGTGTGCTGATGATGTGTGGTGTATAGTGTGTGATATATACTATCAACATTGATATAAAATAAATAAGATAAATCCTACCCTATACTATATATTACCCCTATTATAAGGATGAGAGGTAGATAGAGAGAGAAGAGAAGAGAGAGAGAAGAAGAGAGAAGAGTAGAGAGCAGAGCACGAGAGAGGAGAGAGAGAGAGAGAGAGAGAGAAAGTAGAAGAGAGAAGAGAGAGAGAGAGAAGAGAGAGAGAGATGAGATGATGTATGACGGGATGGG